ATGATGAAAAACGGCTGCATCTAGGAACTTCTTTGTTCTCTGAAGAGCCTGTGTGCAACATTCTCTCTGCACCAAAAAATGGACTTCAGGAATCTGCACAAAGTGCAATGAAACCTTCAGGACTTCTTCCTAAATCCTGGAGAGAGGCAATAGAGTAACAGCAACACCAACAATAAAAACAACAAGAAATCCTTCTGCTTTGAAAAGTAACTTCAAAGTGATGGTTCATATTGCAGTAAAAACACTATTCTGCACACCTTAGCATAGTGCATTTGTTTGCAGTTGTGACATGGTGCCATCTGAAGTGGCTACAGCACTGAACCAGCCTTAGAGCACTTAACACACTCCCAATTGCTAATTGGGATGACTAGGATAGATGAGCTAAGAGAGTTTGCAGTTATCGTTTGAGAAGTGCAGACCAGAACACATATATATATATAAAATATATATATGTATATAATATTTTGCTGTTGTTTGAAGCTTGGGAAAACAAGATGACTGAAACATTCAGGTTCCTTCACAATTTGAATAACTGCTACAGCTGAAGAAGGCAACAAATCACCTAAAATATTTACTCTGCCTCTCGCTGGAGTGGTCAGACAAACACTAAAAGGTTACAGTTATGTGTTTTTCCTCTCCAGTGTTTCCATTTAAGTAATATTTTTTTAAGGGTGGCCAAACGGTCTGAAGGTTTTGATTAAATATGAACACATGTTTTCAAATATCTGGAGTTGGATTTTTACAATTATTAGCAGCTGGAAGGGATGACCGACTGACTACTACAACTTCTCTTGCCCAGTTCCTTCTGCRTGCATCTTCTCAAATGCAATCTGAGGATGAACACACTGGTTACTTGTCAGTGTCTTGGTCAGTAAGTTGATACGAAATCCAGTTCTGATACATTATTTCATAAAACTAGATCCAAAAATACAGGTGGTGTGGGGGGGGGTTAAAAAAAAATACATGAAAAGTAAACAAGATATGTGAACTCTAGGTGTTGTGCACATTAGCAAGGGGTTGCTGGTAAGACCGTCCCACTAAATTCTCCCCGTGGACACAAACCATACTTTTTATTCCCCAGGACGTCTTGTGGTAGTTCCACGAAACAAAAAACAAAAAATGTCCTGGCAAAAAAGGCTCCTTTCCCAGCAAAGGTCCATCCATGCTAGGGTTTTCTCAGATGCCAGTCAAGGTGCGACTGAAACATATTTTGCTGTGAATGCAGCTTTTGAGCATTAGGGATAAGCTTCTAAAACAAACTTCCAAAGAGGCCTATAACGCTAATCCTTGCTTGACAGACACAGTATACATTCCTCATAAAGGCCACTAAGCCATGAACAGAAAAGGATACAAGGAAATCTGAGTGTCAGATTATAAAAAGTTTTACAAGGAGTGATAAAGACACAATATTCAAAAACCACAGCAGCAAACAAGCCTTTCAATGTGGAGAAAAGGCTGGACAGGGCTCTAACAGCCAAGTCTGCTCCAGTGAGGTGTTCTCCAAAAGGAATTGAACCCAAAAGTAAAAATAAGAGCACATGGCCAAGCTGGTGATTACTAAAGATTAGCATACAAGTATTTACAGATAAAATTCAGAAACACTTAATACAAACTAAATTGTAACTTGCATGAGGCAAGTAAGGCAGTAAGAGAAGGGGAAAAAAAGCCACAAATGGAAGTACAGAACCACTAGTAATAAGATAAAGTGATGACACCAACAGGGCTAAATTATTCCATCTTTTCTCTGTGTATCYGCCCAACTTTGCCTCCCATGCCCAAGTGTTAACTGTGAGCAGTAACAGGCGTTAGGACCACAAACCAGGAAAGAAATAGCTCTGTCATTTAATCCTCACACCTACTAAGCCATAATACATTAAACAGTTTAACAGATTATAAGAAATAATGCATGAGTTAAACATACAGATAGCAGCTATATCAGATATCAGTAAAACCTCAGTCACAGCRACAGGAAACAAACAAACAAAAACCTCAAAAATGAGAAGGTGCAGAGAATCAAGAAAACAGCCAAAACKTTCCTTAGTGAGGAGCAACAGTGAGACAAACTGTTCATCAACAGCTAACACRGAGTCACAGAACCACAGGATGGTTGGAAGGGACCTCTAGAGATCATCTAGTCCAACTCCCCTGCTCCAGCAGGGACACCTAGAGCACAGATTCACAGATTCACAGAATATTTAAGGTTGGAAGGGACCTCTACAGATCATCTAGTCCAACCTTCCTGCTCAAGCAGGCACACCTASAGCATGTGGCACAGGGTGGCATCCAGGCGGGTTTTGAAGACCTCCAGAGTAGGAGACTCCACAACCTSCCTGGGCAGCCTGTTCCACTGCTCTGTYACCCTCACAGTAAAGAAGTTGCTCCTCACCTGGAGACGGAACTTCTTRTGCTTCAGCTTGTGGCCATTACCCCTCRTCCTGTCGCTGGCCAACAGCGACAGGGTGCCACAGGGTGGCATCCAGGCGGGTTTGGAAGATCTCCAGAGGAGACTCCACAATCAGAGGAGACTCCACTCCACAATCTCTCTGGGCAGCCTGTCCCAGAATGAGACAACATTCTACAAACATGAGAAAATTGTATAATGGTGGTTGTATCTTGTACAGGTTAAGATAATTTTGTAGGGTCTTCAGYCATACAGTTTGAGAAAAATGGTAGTGAAAGGGAAGGGACTTCGGCACGAGGCAGCGCTGCGCTCGCACCGAGCGCGTCCTCAAGCTGCGCTGCTCCTCATCAGGCAACCCAGGTCCTCACGGTGCACCCCAGGGAGCCCAGGGGACCCTGCTCACTTCACAGCAGCCTGTCCTAACACTGGCACCTACTGCCCCTGGAGCTGCCCAGCCTCTCCCACCACTTCCAGGTGCCGGCCCCGAAGGGTAGAGACTTCCCAGGGGTCCTGTGCCGAGTCTGCCACGACTCTCCGAGGAGGAGAAATCAGATCTGCACTGTTACAAAACAAGCCTAGTTAGTTGAGCAGCAGCAWGGTGGGAACGGTTCTAAAGGGACCATGGACTGAGTGAGAGTTGGCACACCAGGTAAAAACACTCCGTGTCTTTCTGGGGCATATCAACAACAGGGCAGCTGGAGATGTATATCAAGCACGGGCCATTACAATTTAAGACTTACGCATCAAATCCGAAAGACTTCAGAAAAGAATAAGTATTTTAAACAAAAAAGACACCAGACTATTCACATCTGTTATGTGCATCAATATCGCTAGAAAGCCGCTAGTTCAGCAGTAAAAGTCTCACATTTGCTTACAACGCAGATACACAAATGATGAAAACTAGAGCATACGGAAAGGCCTTGCCTGAAACAAAAAGCAGCAGCTTACAAAACAGGRTTTTCTTCTCATATCTCTATAACAGGTTTTCTGAGCTAACTCTGGAACACATCTCCTCACACTTGCAATACCTCCCTTACTGGATATGCCTGCCAGCACAGGATCTCACATCCCAAACCTGCCAGACCACCTACATTTCCTCAAACACTTGCAAGCTTTTTGGTCAGCCCCATTTCTGTAGMCAAGTTTATGCTTTGCCCCAAGGAGGGATGCTCACACCTTCCTCTAGCTTTGCCACCACTGCAGCAACCTCCAGCTGATGGTCATTAACAAGCAGGTGGGTAAGGAGCAAAGGCAAGGCTGTCCCTGGGTGCATCATAGCTATCTGGGGCATAACACTTCACCTGCAGGCAGGCATCATCACTGCCCCACTGCAGAGAACAAACGCAAACCTAGCAGGGAGAGCAAAGCTCCCCCGAGATGAAGCTTATCTGCCCTGCACGTGACTGCCAAGGCCCCATCGGTTCCAGGCTGGCGTTTGCATCATTAGCTGCTACGAGCRCACGGAAGAAAAACAAGCAGACAAGTACAGCAACACTCACAGGAGCAGAGCACGGAACAGCACAGCCAGCTTTGAAGTTCAGAAGGAGAAAGAGAGCAAACACAGGAACCACCTGATGAAACATAAGCATCTGCATCTAATCGAGTGTCTGAACCTGAGTTTGCTGACCTGGGCTGCTCCCTTTATTGACAATGGAAATGCACTCAGCTGAGCCTAGGGAGAAATTCATCTCGCCTTAAGGCAGATGTGCAACATGGGCTCCTACTAGCTGCACTCCACAAGGACCTACTGCCTTCTGGACTATGAAGGGAGCGTGGGACAACAGCATCAAGTTTAGACCCATAAGGTTAAAATGAAACCCCACCCTACGTGTGTGGTGGAAGGAACAAAAAAAGCTAAAAATATTAAGAAAGAAAATGCATTTTTAAAGAAAAATGATTAACAAAATAATAACCTGGAACTATGAGATAATAACCTGGAACAATGAGCTAGCTGGCAGAATTATTTTCCRCAGACAATACTGATTTAATAAAAGTGATATGGATTTGCAAAGGCTTAGTTACTGCTGGCAAGGTCTCCAAAAATTAATCGAAGTGCCAAGCCTGGATAAAAATGCAATAACCAAAACACAGAAAGTTGAGAAGTTAATTGAAACTGAAACCATGCTCTGTCTATTCTTAATTACTTTCTTTTTTTCTTTTTTTTTTCTTTTTTTTTTTCTTAATAAGTGCTCAAAATTTTGGCAGGGAGTTTATTCTTTATATGGAAAAGGGAAGTAAAAGAAAAGGAGGTCAAACTACATTATTCTAAGACAGTAAGAGAAAGCTGTGAGAGAAAATAAATGAAAAATAATCTCTTCTCCAAACAGTAACAGATATTGGTTTAAGCAAATACTCCTATATTTCATTATGCTTCCTGAAATATTGTTAGCAATGTTTCATCTGCTTTAGTAAAAGCTTCAGAAAACACCGCTCCAAAGGAATAYTTAGCTGCAACTGACTGTGTTGAGGAAACTATGAAAAGAAATAACTGAAAAAACTGATGTCCAGCTCCAATATGCTAAACACGACTAGTCAGCGGCAGCGTGAAGGTCTCATCAATATAGACAACTTGAGCAAAATGCACACGCTGCAAACTTACCACTGATGACTCTCTGCATTCTTGGCATCCAGCTGGATGGCCTTTTCAGCTTTAATCTTTCCTGCAGAAAGAGCATGATATAGTGAAGGATTTATTGCACTCGTATCTCTTTTAAGCTTCACCCCAAAACTAAGCAATCAGATAAATTCTAGCTGCAAGGAAGAAATTGTTCCTTCTTTTTTAAAATGTGTAGGTGGGCAATGTGCCATTACAGCTTAAACCATTTATGCACACAAGCACATTTGTTTATATGCATATAATTTTAACATTTTCTCTTTTATATGCATATAATTTTAATATTTTCTCTTATATAATTCAATTCAGACTCAACTAAATCAGGGAAGGATTGGACTGGACTGATGAAAGAGGCTATTGTGCCTCCAAGAGGGAAGACCCTTAACACTGGTTTGAGAAGCATCTGCCAGGATAAGCAGCAGAGCTGCTGTTCACCTTGGGAATGGGAATGCTCTAGGTGAGGTTCCTGTCCAGCACAATGATCTCCATTAAGCTCCATGTTTAAGTGGGGAAATGACAGCAGCTCATTTGATCAGATCCATGCTCCCAGTAAGACTGCTTGCAGCGTCTCAGCTGCATCCAATTAAACCACACTGACATTTCTGAATTACAAGTTCACTTCCTAAAAACAAAGGGCAGCAAACACAGCCCTCCAGCCGAGAGGAATGAAAAAACACAAGCTACTGCCAGCTCCCCCACAGGCCCAGTCTCTCTGCAGCACTTCCAAAAGGCAGATGGAAAAGGCTGCTGCCACCACCCACCACTTGAGCAGAAGGAGCCAAATGTAGCTGATTACTCCACACCTAAGACCCACTTCCATTCCRCCATTCCTTCCCTCTCGCTGTCTTTTGCTATGCCATTACCCTCCTTCAGCTAAAGCTACATTTAACCACTGGTAAAAGCAAAGGCTGCAACAACAGAGCTCATCATTGCCTATTTTTTTTTCTTCTTTTTGTTATAATTCTCACTGGACTGCATGTTTTCTATACAAAAAAAAGTCAATACCAAAGCAAGGACAGTATTAAACAAATAGTTAAGGCAGGGAGAGTCTTAGAATCATAGAATCATAGAATGCCGAAGGTTGGAAGGGACCTCAGAGGTCATCGAGTCCAACGCCAGCATCTGGATGACAACAGGATGCGAATGGGGCCCTTGGACGAGCCAAGGGTGGCTAGGGCAGGTTTCAGGAGGGCACAGAGGGGCACGCTGCCTTTGAGGGTAGGGAAGGGTAGTGAGAACTGCTCTTCCAAGGATGTCACTGACAGGGAGATGAGTTACACGAGACACAGTAACCTGAACTTGTAATACAATTATAAAACCTTTGATTTGGTGCAGTTTAAAAAAAAAAAAAGAGAGAATGGAGAAAAAGAGGAGAGAAACGTATTCTCAGGCAGCGTAAAAGGGGGTATTTTAAGAGAATCTGTCGAACAGACAGCAGAAGGGTGATGTAAGCAGAAAAGAAGTAGGGTTTATTGCAACCAAAAGAAGACCCAAACCAAAAGGGAAATGTGAACCATTCCTCTCTCCAGGATGCCTTTAAACTGGGGAAGAAAGGAGAATGCCCTTCAGAGCTACACAGAAAGAGGGTTGTGAAGAAATCACCATCTGCTTAAGCCATCAGAGCAGGCAGAGCAGAGCAGAGCAGACAGAGCAGGCACCTGGGGAGAGAGGCCTGGAAGCAGCATCCCCGGCTGTCACTGCTTGTGACCCCTGCTTTGGGCAGAGAGAGCTTCCCAAAGCACCAGCCCCACGGCCACCACCAAGGAGGCTACCGAGCTGCAGGAACGGCAAGATTAAAACAAATCTTGGATTTGCCTTTGCATCTATTCCTCTCTCTCAAAATGTAATTAAGCTGTGCTGATTTTCTTTTAACATTGTTTCTTTGTTTCTATCTGACTCACACTGAAGTAAGGGATTTTAGGATATCATCCAGAGCCAACTGCCTTCAAATGCGACTGACAACACTTCTACACCACTTCTGGATCTCTCCACTGTGAAAAGAAGCTATGTAATGTGGCAGTTGGTTGTGCAAAACATTTTTATTATTGTATACAAGCTCCCACTGATTGGACTGGAAATTTCTGGGGCTGGAAAGCACGAACGCTCCAAGCATGTTTCCCCACTCTCAGATGACGGTTTACATAAACAGTTTTCCTTGACTTACCATCAGTAACATACTTCTTCTTTTCCTCAGCATCTGTAGTCAGCTCAAATAGATCTCCATAAGCACGAGCAACTCTCCAAAGAAAGCTTGCACAGTTCTCGTACTGAAAGTAGAGGACAACAAGGTAATTTATATTCATCAAAATTTGACTTTCTGAATGCTTGGAGTAGGTTTGAGGAACACTGAATGAGTCTTTGGTATTTGAATCCTTCTGTACTAGCTTTCCTACACATGAGGACCATATGATGAATTTTTCCCTCTACCAAAGATTCATCATCTTTTTTTTTTGGTTATCTGGAATGTCTAAATAGGTTTTATAAATCATTCGTACAGGTCTCTTCAAAATAAAGATAAAAAGGCAATCCAGTAAAGCATAATAGGCTGCTGAGTGATGCATATTTTCTTTAAGTAGGAAATAAGCACTGTATACTCTCACAAATCTTACCACATCTACCCATCTGGATATTTCAATAAGGAAATAAAATCATACCTAATAACATTTGTCATGTCAGAAGAAAGTAGAACACCAAATCAAGTGCTAAACAATCAAACCACTTGAAAACTTCATTAAAAGTTGCACATGTGCACACAAGTTACAAGTCATACACAGTATACCAGAAAATAATAAGTMAAAAAAATTATTGTTTGATTTCTCGAGAACATTTGGTCTGGCTACTACTTAAATTCCACAAGACCTTCTCATGCAACCATTTTAAAAGCAGTAAAATATCATATCATTTATTGAGTAAAAATCCCATGGTATCATCCTTCACTGCATGCAAGAAAACATACACCAAACAGAGCCTTAATGTTATTGAACCTGGATTGCTTATAAAATAAGAAAACTTCTATGAATGCCCAAGAGGAATAATGGTAATATCTAAAAATATTTCTTCTTAAAGTGAAAAAGAGGCATGGAATTTCATCTTCCAGTCCTGTCTGCATTTTAAAGCTCACATCAAGGAAGTTCTCAAATACAGTGCCAAGCCTAAGTYAAAAGCAGTAAGACTAAGTTTACCCTTTAATACCTTGTCCTCTTTCTCAAGCAGCAGTCTGAAACCTTCCTTTCTATCATCCTCTGAACCCTTGTGCAAACTGTCCACCTGCTGTAGAAGGTCAAGTAACTCCTTCTCTTCCTCCAGTCTCCCAACATTAGGCGATTTCTTCCATCCCTTTTCTTCCTCAGACTCTCCTTCGGTGTCAGTATGAGCTGTAATGTAACTAAAATAACAAGAAACAGTAACTATATTTTCTGAAGATACTGTCAAAGCATTGTCAAATCCAAACCCAAGAAAATCAGATCAGGATTCCTGCCAGTTGTGAAACCTTAAGGGAGTTTTTGCTCACGGAATCCAGCTTTTTCTKATTATAGTATCTCTCTCTCCAAAGAGACAGGATGATCGTAATTGCAAACACAACAGGCCAGTGATTACACTATGTCCTCCGTAACAGTGGAGGACAAAAAATTAAATACGTATTAGAAGCACGTGCGTCCCTGAGGTTCAAATGCAGAGCACTGTTGACATCACACTGCTAAATGACAACGTGCATTAACGCATGTTCTGTAACCCTGAGGAGGCCTCTTCAGCATCGTGCCTCAATATTCCCATTTTCTGAAACGGRAGAGCTTACCAACCCAAACAGGAGTGCTTCAAGCCCCACACAGTGTTTTGTCAAAYGCTTTAAAGGTCATAGGCACAATTTTAAATATAAGCAGTAAGATCACTATTGTCAGTTTGTTTTTCTTTCATATATTCTGAAGACTGGAATATCTGATAATGGGAAACAGCTTGCATTAATTCATTATTCTTAGTGCACAAATGCTCAGCACAAGGCAGTCAAGGCCAGGCAAATATTTTCAAAAGCCACAAATTCCACGTAGAGATAAATGAGTGACTTTATTGGACATTCAATAGCGTCCTTCAAATATCAAACAGCTAAATAAAAGCTAAATAAATTAAAAGACCACCAGATGCACTGGTTGTAGCCTGTAATAGTTGTAAATGCAAATATTTAAATGTAAATATTTAAACTGCAGAACTGTCAAGATTAATCCCTGCAAGATTAACCCAGTAATATGGGAAAGAAGATTCAAAAACTTATGAAAAAAGAAAACCCACCATACATACATGTTCAAATAGAAAAACAAAGTACAGCAGAAGAATAAAAATGCCATAGATTTCCACAGAATTACACATCAAATCTTGATGCTGATGAAGTCAAAGACAAATCCTACCCTATATGTTGCAGAGTCAGTGCTTGTGCACAGTGGATGGTGAACATTTACTTTGGTTTTCCGATGAAAAATACCTAGGTTTGAAGTATATTTGAAAAGCACCTTTTCTGCTTTCCTGCTGGATTTAGGTTGCTCTTCCAATTAAAAGAAAATTTGGTGCAAATACCTACTTTAAATGCTGGGTGTTACATAATACAAAGCAGCAAGGACTATGCAGTAAAAGGAATAGATGGCCCATGAGATGCATCAGCATTCCTCAAAATTTCTATTTTCTTCCCTCAGAAAGCTGACCACATAGGGCCTTCAGAGAGTTCTCTCCTCCTCTTCCTCCTTCTCCAGCTGCAGAGCTGACACTGCCGGCACTGCTGTGCATCCCAAAGAAAGAGCTCTCCAGAACTGACTTGCAACCAGTTCCTGCCTCACTCATGAGGCACCTCACGCCAACTGCCATGTAAGTTGGGAGCTACTAATGTAAAATGACAATAAAGTAATTTAATCAGGTATAAAGCATAAACTGGAAACATTCTGCCAAACTAGGCATAAAAAAAAATATTTTCTGTTTTGTTTCTGATTACACAACTCTTACTCTCTGTTCTCTCTGTTCAATCCCTAACAGGGTCAGCCTAAAACATTTCTTTTAAGCACGAAGAAGTAACGTTTTAAGATGGCAGCGTGTTTATTTCAAATAAATAAATAAATAAATAAACAGCTAGGATTTTTCCCCAAAACTTGGGCGAAGTGTGCTTCATCAATCTGAACTGAAGCCAGTTTTACTTCTAGACAGGAAAGTCTTGCAGCTACTTAAGGACAAAATAAGAGCCTAAAAGATCTTCTTGTAGTTTTGTATCAACCAATTTCAACAAGCTAGCTAGCAGGCTTTTGTATCTGTTCATTCTGGAAGTAGAGCAGCAAGTTGTATGTCAGGAAAAGTGACACTACAAAATAAAGCTAAAATCAGTATTAAACATGTGAAAGTGAAGTGGAGATTTTTAACACAATCTAAAATCAAAAGGGTGATGAGAGTAACCCAAAAGACAAAATAACAACAAGGGAGCCATCACAGTTTACTTTACATGTTTCCTGTATCAACACTGATAACAGCTATTTTACTTGGTATTTTCCTGAAGAAGGCTTTATCAAATGATGAAAAGTGAATATTTACTCGTGATAAAACCCACCAAGCAGTATCCAACAAAATGCAAGCCCCTTAAGAACGCATACAGTCAGCGCCAGCTTGTTTTCACCTTTACTACCAACACATTTCATTTAAAAGAGAAAACAAGCGAKAAGGCTGCAACGAGCCGTGGCCAGCACGCTGGACTCCGGTGCATCGCAGAGGTCTGCTCAAAGTTCAAAGAGCTCCTGGCCACCACGTCAGGGACTCCCCAGGCTGAGGCTAAGCGGCCAGCTAAGGAGGTTAAGCTCAGTAATCCAGTAATTAAAACACCTGAGCTGCCTCATATAAAGCACTGCTGTGGTGGAGACTCAGCTGCTTTAAGAGCTGTTTTGGAGTAATGTTTTACTGGCAGGCCCTGGTCTCACTGAATATCTAATCTGCCCACAAGAGTCCAACTTGTAGATAGATCAGATATTATCTGTTGTATTGCCAACACWAAAAGCATAAGCTGACACACTGCCACTGCCTAATCCACTCTGGCTAATTCAGTAGGAAGGTGATTATGTGTCAACGCCTGAGCTGGATCAAATGGGCCCGGTCTGAGCTAGCAGAAGGCAGATCCATTTTTAATGATAAGGGCCACAGAGCCAAAATCTCCCAAAGCAGAATCCTCAGCAGGTGAGCTGAGGATTGCACTGTTAGGAAAGGGCAGCAAACATGAGTGAAGTAACAAAAAGCRACATGGCACAAACAGTCAAAAGAATTATGATTCCCTCTGTTTCTCTCCCAAGGARAAACTTTTTCAAGGAAAGATAGCATGGAAAAAATTTGAAGAAAAAAAGATTTACTGGAGTCAGTCTTTGTGGTGACTGATGTCACACGTAATTTGAAAAGCCTGGGAGCCAGAGACTGGGGCCAAGCACWGCACCCTTGTCACCCACTCCTCACTGCTGCACCAGGGAAGAGCAACCTCCAAACGACAGAGACCACAACTAGGCGACACGCTCCATCCCAGCTGATCATCCAGATCCCATTTATGGTCTTTGTAAATGAATGAATATTACAGCTCCTCAAAAGTAAGTAATTCTCCACCACTAAGGAAGGATGTAAACTGAAACAAACTATTTAGAATAGTCTATAGGAGCACACAGGCTATAAACAACGGGCTCCTCAGCAGCCATTTAATGTAAGATCTTAACAACCACGCCACACGCCTTCCTTTCAGGCTAGCTGTCATTATGTAGAAATCTCTTTTGAAAATATGTGATGTTTTTTCACTTCCAGAATATATGATAATTTGAGGAAGGCAAAATACAAAGCTTCTATCTCTAAAATGTTGCAAATTAATTGCAATACTGAGAGYATAATCAGAACAGATCAAAACCATGAAGACCACAGGCGAGCCTGCCAGCATTAAAAATTTTATGGAAGAAAAAAAARCCAAAAAAGGTGGTATTAAAACCTCTTTGGGCATAAGTTGCAAACCTGAAACCAATGTAGTCATTCAACACAAATCAAAATACAAAAAACCAAAAATCTCTTTTCAGAAGAGATATTTAAAAAAAAAGACTACAGATGTATAACTTTGATTTGTCTTCCTTCCTTCTGGCTGTACACAAACACTCCTTAGAGAAGGCCTTTCTTAAGGACCCCTTCGGTGCTCTTGCACACAAAAATAACTTTGCTCTTGGATCATCTGGCATCTTCTTTCYTAAGCTGGACAAGTTTCCTTTGTAAGTTGTCAAACTGCAATGCATCCCCTCCAGACCCCAAAACACAACCCTCKTAGAGGCTAGGCGTGGAATAACCTCTGCAATGAGTCCATGATTCTGATAACTCATAAATTGGTTCCTTAATCTTATCTACATCTCCAGATGTTTTAGATGCAATATCAAGGCCTTTGCGAACCAAATAAAACACAAGTCAATCTGAGAAACTAACCCAATTGCAATGTTTCTGCACCATATGAAGAGGAATATGTCTCAGAAGATCCCTGCTAATTAAAAATATTAAAAAGTATTTACAATAGAACTGACAGGTTTAAAAATACAGAGTCAAAATACAAGGCCCGAGAAGCACGTGGACTGAGAAGCAACACAACAAAAACTTCTCACCACAGGAAATGAAAGGACTTTAAAAAAAAGAGTTTCACTARTTGTAACAGACATCATGTTGCTGTCTTCAGAATATTAAAGCATCCTAAAGAAAAATAAATGACTTAAGCAATTTACTGATGTAATGATGCCTATGCTTGTAGGCATAACATACTGAGGTGGTGCCACAAAAMCTCAGTTGCTCCAACCATGCTAAATTGCATGCAAGTACCTCATTTGATTATATTACAATCCAGTTCAAAGATTTCCTTGTGGCTTATCTGCATAGATAAATGCTAGGTGCATGACACCAGCCTTGATCTAGAGATAGAAACCTTGCAATCAGAGGACAGTAACGTCACCACCATTTCTACATGGCTACTGTAGGGTGCATTGGGTAACATATTAACACAAAAACACAGCTGAAGTCTGTTCAAAAAAAAAAAAAAAACGTGAACCACAGTGGGACTCTAGATGTGGCCAAAACTAGGACTTACGGAATCAGCGCTCAAAATCTCTCATGATTTTTAAAGACAAGGAGAACTGCACACAGGAACAAATACACGTGACCATACRTGTCATAAGTGACCCACATAAGCTATTTGCATATGTGTTGTACTCAGACACGGCTTTGGGAGCAATGCAAAACCTTTTGGTAGACAAGGTAATAACTCACCTTTAAAGCCAATGGAAGATAATTATCATGGAAAACACAAAACACTCCTACACTTTGAACACAGCACTGTTAGAGAAAAACAATTGCTTTCTCAGTAGCACTTTTAAAATCATTGTTCTGCAATATATCTCTATTTGCCTTCTCATGACRTAGCTGTGGAGGAATGTGGCATCAGGCTGTTATTGAACAGACCCTTACAAATATGAATTATGCTTAGTGTGGCATGTAAACCTTAATGAGGCCTTGGAGATGATCACCCAGAGTTTCCTCTGACTCAAAAAAGATCAGGATGAACTTTTAAGGGATTTTGTTCCTAAATAGAGAAGAAACATCAAATACACATTAAAAAAAAAAATAGGTGCCTGCTTGCCATAGAGAGTTTCACGCATGCAACGGCACAAGGCGCCAGGCCCTCTCGGCTGAACCCCAGAGGGTGAAACCCTCAATTGGTTGTGAAGGACAACCAATGTGATTGAGAGAACGGAACATCTCTTGTASGAGGAGAGACTGAGTGAGTTAGGCCTCTCTTCTCTGGAGAAGTCAAGGCTGAGAGGGGATCTGATTAATAAGTACMTGACAGGGGAATGTAGGGAGGAARGGGCCAAGCTCTYCTCAGTGGTGGCCAGGGACAGGACAAGGCACAACGGGTGCAAACTGCAACCCAGGCAGCTCCATCTCCATGTGAGGAGGAACTTCTTTGGTGTGAGGGTGCCCGAGCCCTGGCACAGGCTGCCCAGGGAGGCTGTGGAGGCTCCTGATCTGGAGATCCCCAAATCTGCCTGGATGCACCYGGGTGCCCYGTGCTCTGGGTGTCCCTGCTGGAGCARGAAGGTTGGACTAGATGATCTCYAGGGGTCCCTTCCAACCTCAGCCATTCTAGGGTTCTAGGGCTGCTGCATTGCGCACTACGTGCAGGACAGCACCGACTCACCCTCCTTCGCTCTCGGCCTCCTCGGAGCTGGTGGCCTCGGCTGCGCCAGGCGCTGCCTCGGCTTTCCTGCGCSGCGCTGCCCTGTGCGCGGGGCTGGCCCGCTGCGCGTCGCCCTGGGCCTGCAGCTCCGCGCGCACCAGCTCCTCCAGCTGCGGCACGGCCTCCCGCAGGGACTGCACCTCCCGCCTCAGCTCGTCCACGCTGAGCAGCAAGGCGTTCAGCTTCTCCAGGATCTGCAGCTGCCTCCCGTGCAGCACCACGACGGCTCCCGGCGCGCTGGGCGCTTCGTTGTGCACGGCCGCGAGCAGCGCCGCGGCGCCCGCGCCGCCCTTGCGCGCCTGGCGGTACCACAGGAGCAGGAGGCTGATCCCGGCCGTGCCGGCCATCACGCCCAGGAGCAGGCCCTTGTTTTCAAAGTGGGACGACATTTCTGCAGTCACCTAGAAGTCACGAGAGGAGAAAACGGGTGGGGGCGTGAGAAGCGCCGGGCTCCTCTCACCGAGGCACCGACTTGGCTCCTAACGCCTGGAAGCGGCAGGGAGCAGCACCTGCCTCCAGCGCAGGCACCTGCGCGGCGGAGCGGCCGCCACCACCGTCACCATCATTATTACTGTTATTATTATTGTTGTTGTTTCTCCCTCGGCGGTGCGCGGGCGCTGCTCCGCTCGCGTCTCCCGGGACGCTGGCGCCGGGCCCCAGGGCCAGGCCGCGGCCGGGCCCT